GAAATAGAACCTAGGTGGACTACTATAAGGTGGGTGCATAACTGGTTGGAAAACCATTCCTAGAGAGAAAAGGAGTACTTGTGGCACCTTAGAGACTAACAAATTTATTTGATCATAAGCTTTCGTGAGCTATAGCTCACTTCATCAGATGCATGACGTAGCTCACGAAAACTTATGCTCAAATAAATTTGTTAGTCTCTAAGGTGCCACAAGTCCTCCTTTTCTTTTTGCGGATACAGACTAACACGGCTGCTATTCTGAAACTATTCCCAGAGAGTAATCATCAGTGGTTCACAGTCAAGCTTGAAGGACATATCGAATGGCATCCCGCAGAAATCAGTCTTGAGTCCAGTTCTGTTCAATATCTTGATAAATGATTTAGATAATGGCATAGAGAGTACATTGATAAGTATAGGTTTCAGAGTAACAGCCGTGTTAGTCTGTATTCGCAAAAAGAAAAGGTGTACTTGTGGCACCTTAGAGACTAACCAATTTATTTGAGCATAAGCTTTCGTGAGGTCTCTAAGGTGCCACAAGTACTCCTTTTCTACTTATAAGTATGCAGACGATGACAAGCAGGGAGGGGAGGGGGGTTGCAAGTGCTTTGGAGGGTAGGTTTAAAATTCAAAATGATTTGGACAAACTGAGAAATGGTCTGAAGTAAACAGGATTAAATTCAATAAGAACAAACGTGAAGTACTCCACTTAGGATAGAACCCATCAGTTGCACACATACAAAATGGGAAATGACTGCCAGGGAAGGAGTAGTGCAGACAGAGATGTGGAGACAGTGGATCACAAGCTAAATATGAGTCAACAGTATAACACTATTGCAAAAAAAAGCAAACATCATTCTGGGATGTATCAGCAGGATTGTTGTAAGCAAGACACGAGAAGTAATTCTTCCACTCTACTCCACGCTGATTAGGTCTCAACTGGAGTATTGTGTCCAGTTCTGGGAGCCACATTTCAGGAAAGATGTGGACAAATTGGAGAAAATCCAAAGAAGAGCAAAAAAAATGATTAAAGGTCTAGAAAACGTGACATGAAGGCTTCTTCAATTATTATCAATAATAATTATTTCTGTTACACCAGTCAGGGCCCCACTGTGTCAGGCACTATACAATATACAGGAGACATCCCTGCCCAATAGCACGTACAGTTTGAGGTCCTGTCTACATTGGGAGTTTTGTACCAGTGTAGCTACCATGATGTAGTTGCACCAGTACAAACCCCTAGTGTACAAGCACAGCATCACTGTAATGCGTGACTTGTCCATGGGGAGCAAAAGTTGTTCCCATTACATGGGCTGTGTGAAGTGAGCTGATGGTATCAGTCCATTTCCTGCTGGACAAATGACCACAACAGTTTATACTAAATTACATCCCTTCTTGGCAGTCTCCAAAGTACAGGCACGTAGTTACTTGGAGACTGAACTCTCCTTGTCACTCTCGAGATGGTCCCCACATTTCTGGTTGCAGGGAAGTTTGCATTTCAGACCTCTGTTCTGTAGCCAGAGAACCTCAGTCTTCAGGGCTGGGCAAGCTGACCCCTTTCACGCACACTAAATTTGCTAAAGGACTCACCTTTTGCTTCAGGCTTTTCCAGAATAAAAATAAATCTTTTTGATGCAAAATTTTGGTATTCTATTCCACATTCTCAACAAAACATGTTGTTAATCTGTGTTCTTCAGAGCAAATTTTGCCTGTTTAAACTGGCCCATGATCATTCAGTTCATTATTGTATTATGAATTTAACAACTTCACTGACTGCAACCTTGCCAGAGACAAGGGCTGATGATTCTGCATAAACCATTTGCTGCTGCTAATCAGTGTCACATCCAGAGCCTGCAGTTTGCATGGTGTGCCTCCTGACATTAATGGGTTATTTATTTATATATAAAGGCATCAGTCCTGCTGACAAATGAAGGCATGGATTATATGGGCACTCTGCTCATTTTTAGTAACCAAAATTAATATTTTGCTTTAACTGGGTAACCTACAATAAAGCTTTTCAGCCAAGTGTAGTAGCCACATATGGGTTTTAATAAAATAGATTCTGTAATCTCAGATCAGCCTCCAAGGCAGTGTGACAATTATTAGAGTATTGTTTAGTTAGAATTAACTTGCAGTTGACATAGATCTCTGCAGTAGATGAAGCTAGGAACAAACACTTACTCCCAGCATATACTGGCTGTATATCTTAACAATACTGGAATCTGACTGTCCTATGCATCCAAATTTTCAGCTGCAGCAGAGAGGCTCCTCTTCAATTTTGCATGCAGCAATGATGACACCTAATGGTGGAAACATTTTTTTCAGCTGTGCAATCCCCAGAGCTTTTGCCTTTCAAGCCATGGTTCTAGTAGTTAAACAGAGAGCTACAACTTTACTAAGCTACTAAAGAATTCACTCCAGCACTCCCTCCCTCCCTCTCTCTCTCCTGTCACCAAGCAGTAAATTAATCAGACTGAAATGTTTGGGGTTCAGGTGAAGCCCAGGGAACAAGCACGCTGTTTCACTCTTCATTTAATTCTTTCTGATTTAAAATGGATATGTGCATTCTAAGTTGCTTTAGATCTAGTCTGTGGTTTAAAGTTGTCATAGCTGCTATTCAGAGCAGGGACTGTCCTGCTGAAGCGAAGTGTCAACTTGCATGCACATTGTGTAAAGAGTTGTCACTTTGGATGGGCTAGCACCAGCAGGAGAGTGAATTTGTGGGGGGGGGTGGAGGGTGAGAAAACCTGGCTTTGTGCTGGAAATGGCCCAACTTGATGATCACTTTAGATAAGCTATTACCAGCAGGACAGTGGGGTGGGAGGAGGTATTGTTTCATATTCTCTGTGTGTATATAAAGTCTGCTGCAGTTTCCACGGTATGCATCCGATGAAGTGAGCTGTAGCTCACGAAAGCTCATGCTCAAATAAATTGGTTAGTCTCTAAGGTGCCACAAGTACTCCTTTTCTTTTTGCGAATACAGACTAACACGGCTGTTACTCTGAACCCTGAGGGAGTGCTTCTAAAGAGTGCACAAAAAAAGTTTCTCTAGATCTCACCGGCTTGTACTAGAATGTGTATAACATGGAGGTGAAAACTTCCTTTGGAGATTCCTGACTGCTATTTGTGAGCTCTGGTGCATTTGCAGAACTGTTGATACTCAAAGAAGATTTTCAGGACCATATTAAGGCATACACCGTAAGTAATACACACTCATTTACAGACAGAATTTGCTTATTTACAAGCAAATACTCCCTTTTTACTGAAGTTATAAAATGCTAAAATATGATGTTGGCATTAATACAATAAATGAAATATTTAAACAATTAAAGGCTCTGCACATTTTAATATTTAGGCGAAATTTCTGGTATCTTTTTGTTCATCTGTGTCTTACTAGGAACCTAGATCTTAGATGAAGGGTCCATTGTGATGAACTGATGAACACCCACAAACTTCCATTCCATTAATTTGCAAACTGGATACAATTAACTTAGGCTTCAATAGAGACTGGGAGTGGATGGGTCATTACACAAAGTAAAACTATTTCCCCTTGTTTATTCCTCCCCCCACCGTTCCACAGACGTTCTTATTAACTGCTGGAAATGGCCCACCTTGATTATCTCTACAAAAGGTTCCTCCCCTCTCCCCCTCTCTCGCTGGTAACAGCTCACCTTAAGTGATCACTCTTGTTACAGTGCGTATGGTAACACCCATTGTTCCATGTTCTCTATGTATATAAATCTCCCCACTGTATTTTCCACTGAATGCATCCGATGAAGTGAGCTGTAGCTCACGAAAGCTTATGCTCAAATAAATTTGTTAGTCTCTAAGGTGCCACTAGTACTCCTTTTCTTTTTGCGAAACTTCCACTGGGTTTGCCTTAACTAGGAAAAATGTCTTGAGTTTCAACTGTGTTTTGCCAACACATTAGCTAAACCCAACCTAAACTTGACCTTTTTCCTAGTGCAGATTCAGGGTGACACTGTTAGCTCAATTTTAGCTTGTCTGTTATCATGCATCTATGCTAGGAAAAGCATCAATTTAGCTCATGTTAGCTAAGCCTGACCTACACGTGACAGCTTTTCCTAGACAAGACATGCCAACCAACTTTAATAGGAGTCGAAGGTACTTAGCGCCTTATTGACATTTTTAAATATCATATCTCAGAGATAATATCAGATTTCATTTGGAGCACATAGTGTACAGAGAACTTGATCTTTAGCTAAATGACCCCCCGCCCAAAATTACTTCTCATGTGTCACCAACTGCTTACCAAAATACACACTTGGTCAGTCTACTTTCTCTTTACATTGTAATGGTGAGTACTTTAATCATTCACCTGCATGAAAATTGACTGGAAGAAAATACAGACAAAGATATTTCAAGAACATCTTGGAACAGCCATACTGAGTCAGACCAATGGTCCATCTAGCTTAATATCCTGTCTCTGACAGTGGACAGTGCCAGATGCTTCTGAGGGAATTAACAGAAGAGGGTAATTTTGATTGATCCATCCCCTGCAGTCCAGTCCCAGCTTCCAGCAGCTGGAGGTGTAGGGCTATCCAGAGCATGGGGTTACATCCCTGACCAGCTTGGTTAATAGCCATTGATGGACCTATCTTCCATGAAGTTATTTAATTCTTTTTTTGAACCCAGTAACTTTTGGCCTTCACAACATCCCATGGCAATGAGCTGCACACATTCACTGTACTTCCTTTTATTTCTTTTAAACTTATGTATTGAATAAACCCAAATTGTCAAATTTTTAATCTTAACCAAATTGTTAGTTTTATCTCAATGGTTACATTGTAGAAACAAAGCTAATTTTACACTTTGAAAATGTTTTAATTAACGTTAAGAAATAGATACAGGGGAAGGAAAACAAACAAACAAAAACCCTTACAAATCGCCTAACCATGCAATTTTTGGTTGTCTTCAGACTTAGTTTAATTGCCCTTAGGCAAGGTAACAGTCCCACTTGCAATAACAATCATTCTAACCTACCTTTCTTACATCTGAGCTCTTTGGTTCTGTTGTCCAAGTTATGATTCTAGACACAGCAAGTCTGGTCTCACTGGAGTTCACAAAGTCTGTTGGGTCCATCTGTCTTGCCAGGGACTCAATGTACTTCAGAATTGCAACTTTTACCTAAGAAATGTAAAAGGAGATTGTCATCCTTTGTTGGTGAGATGATGGAAAGTGGACATCTCTCAAAACTATCCTGTGCCAAATAAAACTTGTAAGCTCATCTCTGCTCTATAATGACCCATAATGAAAAAGAAATATGAATTGGACAATCTTACAGCTCATTGGACAGGTCTAGACCACCATCCTGCACGTAAATGACTAATGGAGACAGAGTACCCTTCTGAAAATCTGTTAGAAAGATAAACATAGTTTTATGGAAAACTCCTATAGAATTTAATAGGGGCTAAACTATAGGGTTTTACAGAAATTACTCTAAAAACCTACAGAATTTAACAGACGATCTATAAAATTCTGTAAATAGAATACAATTAAATTGTATAGGATTGTGCAAGACACCAACAGGAAAGTTATAATTTTCTCACAAATTAGATAGGATTTTTACAAGAGGCTATGAGCTGGTAAAAAGTAAAAATTATTTCTTCACCTATTCCATAAAATGTATTTGCATGTCATATTTCAGAAACAAAAGTAACCTTCCACCCATACTGACTGCTTGAGAGAATGCAGCCTAGCAGTCGCATGTACAGGGTAGCATTGTCCGTCTGGGCAAAAACTTTGGACTCTTGCCTTAATTAAGACTTTTTTAAATGCCCACGGTTGGGTTTCCACTAGGCCCTGAATTCCCACTTATGGCAACAGTGTTCTCCCTCCCTTTCATAAGACACCTTATGCACTACTGCATGCAAAACAAAGAATACATGATTCCTGGAGTTTCTGAAGTTCATTCACCTTTGAAGTAGCCACCTTGCACAGAACTCTCTACACACACCCAAACATATTCCTTTGACGGAATGTAGTATCTCAGATAACAAAACAAATCTCAGTCTAATGTTTCTCCTCCAGACCATATTACCTCTGTCCCAAAGAGACCCATTTATATCATGGTTGGAATTAACAAGATTCATCTGCCAGGAAGAGAGTAAACCTGCATTCCTATGAAAGCTCCTAGAACCTGCCACTTTCCTTCAGTTTTGGGACCTTAATAGCTTGACAGTGTCCCTGCATAAATTCTTTGAAGCACTTAAGTGATTTAGGAGAATAGATCCCATTTTTCAAAATGACCTAGGCATTTAGGAAACAGAAGCACTATTGATTTCCAAGTGAGATTTTCAAAAACAGCTTGATTTCAGTGGGAATTCGGCCCCACAGCTCATTTGAAAACCTCCACTAGGTGTAGGGTTGCCAACTGTCTAATTGCAGAAACCCAAACACCCTTGCCCCACCCCTACCCTCACTGAAGCCACGCCTCTGCCCCACCCTGCTCACTCCATTCACTGCCCATTCTCCCCCCCACCCTCACTCACTTTCACAGGGCTGGGGCAGGGGGTTGGGGCTGAGGGGTCCAGAGTTGGGAGGGGGCTCTGGGCTGAGTCTGGGGCAGGGGGTTGGGATGCAGGAGGGTGTGCAGGGTGTGGGCTTTGGGAGGGAGTTTGGGTGTGGGAACAGACTTAGGACTGGGGCAGGGGGTTGGTGTGCGGGAGGAGGTGAGGGATGCGGGCTCTGGCCAGGCGGCTCCCAGAAGCGACTGGCATGTCCAGATCCTAGGCTCGGGGTGGCCAGGCAGCTCTGCACACTGCCCCTGCCTGCAGGCACCGCCCCCGCAGCTCCCAGCCAATGGGAGCTGCAGAGTTGGTGCTCAAGGCAAGGGCAACATGCAGACACCCCCTGGCTGCCCCTGTGCCTAGGAGCCAGAGAGATGTGCTAGTTGCTTCCCGGGGCCGTGCGGAGCCAGGGGCAGGTAGGGAGCCTGACTTTTCCCCGCTGCACCGACTGGATTTTTAGCGGCCTATTAAAATCTCTCAGATTGGTTTCAGTAGCCATCGGAAGATCAATTCCAATTCCAGGAGATTCCTGGCCAATCCGGGAAGGTTGGCAACTCTAACTAGGTGCCTATCTACATCTTTAGGTGCCTAACTACCTTACAGAATCTGGCCCTTCTGCACTTAGTGTAAGTCAGTTTTGAAAATGGAACTTAGACATTTTTGAAAATTTTACCAAAAGGTATTAGTACATGTTAATTATTGCAAAATACATCAAAAATATTGTTTTTTTATAAGTGTCATATTATACATGTGCTTTCAGGTAGTTATTTTTCCTGTGAATATTAGGTACTCAAGTATGATGAAGTGTTTTAAAAAACATCCTGAGATTTAAATGGACCATGTTTATGTCACAATGCAAAGGTTTTCATTGCTTACCTTGAGGTTTGGTGTTTGGGTCTGATCTACAATAAATCTCATCAAAATATTAAACTGCTGATCAAATGGAAAAGAATCCCTATTCAGAGAGGAAATAAAGATTTCCATTATTATTAGAACAAACACATTTTAATACATTTAACTTACAGAAAAAAAACACTAAAAAAAAATCACAGAAATAGCCTTTAAATATTAAAACATTATTCTGTGAAATTCACCTGTGTTTGACCAGCTACCAAGTGGGTTGAATACCACAAATGTAAATGTGTTGAACGAATTATTCATTAACACTGGTGAGATCTGTCAAATCAATATATTCACAGAAAACTACTCAGCCTGCAATATGTAGATCCTTCCTGCTTTTGTTGCCCTGTTCTTCCTTTCCCCACTTTACGTTACTCTTTCATTTTCTTATCTATAGCAGATCATGTTTTATCTTTTCCTGAGTGAGCTTCGATGATTGATTCCTATTTTCTTTCCCTCTCTCATCTCCTTCTTGTCAAGTGGATTTTAAAAGCCCTATACAAATTAACCCTTCATGGTGCCACCTCTACCAGAGTGTGAAAATGCGGTACATGTGACATCCTTGGGTAGGCAGCATGCTATAGTGGATTGAATATGCACGCTAGGAGGCAGGAACACCTGAGTTCTTATCCTCACTTTGCTACTGACTTGCTGGATGTTCATGAACAACTCAGAACTTAGTATTTAGGCACTTTTCATTTTCTGAACAAATGACTAGTGTTCATCATCCAAGCTGGGAGAAACAAAAAAGTGCAATCAAACTTTAAATAGGAACACAAGGAAACAAAGCACATTAGATTTCAATGTTCTTTCACTTTTAATAATGTAAAGTGCTAAGAGCAAGGTAAGTATATTCACTTTTTTATTATTATTATTTGTATTGCCGTAGCACGTAGGAGTCCTAGTTATGGGCCAGGAACTCATTATGCTAGGCACTGGACAAACACAGAACAAAAAGATGATTTCTGCCCCTGTTTTAAATATATGACAAATGATTCTGCTTTCCTTTTCATTAATGTAAATCGGAAATAACTCCATTGAAATCAATGGAGTTAAGTAATATAAAACTAGTGCAGTTCAGAGGAAAATCTGGTCCATTATTTTAACCTGATATTGGGAACTGGAATCTGCTTTGTTATACTGGTGAACATCCAGACTAACTTCACTGGGAGGTTAGTCCACATTGACACAGGGTGAATCTGGTCCACTTCTTGAAACAAGTGTGGGATGCAGTGTTTCTGAAACGTCCATCCATAAAACAAAGCAGGCCTAGGAGGTGCACCACAGGTGATGGATTTAAGGATCCCTAGAACTTTTGCATATCGTACCTTGTTACATCCAGAGCTTTCTGAACTTTTGCCTGCACAGATCCTAGCAAGTCTGCTCCCATTTTCTTAAGTAACTGCGTCAGGAGAACAAAGAGCCAATCTTGCAAGTCGTCCTTATGGATGATGATGAAATCTACCAGGGTTTCTAGAAACATGCTGAAAACCTACAAATAAATGCAAATTTTAAAAAGGGGGAAATTACTTTTTTAATCAGAAATGATCACAAGAGAAAGTCTACAAAAAATCTGGGTTTTAAAATGATTTTGTTATAGACAGTTTTATGAATGGATGTTCTCAGTGAACATGTTAGCACTAGAAATCACTGGCATTAAACATCCAGGATGTGCCGTATTAAAATGTCATACTAAATAGATTAAGAAAGAGGGAATGAATACACTTACTCTCTGTTGTGAGTTCCACCGCAAAGCAGGCCATGCAACAAAACAAACCACTCGTTAGTACACATAGTGAATCAATGCTGACTGCTCTGGTGCAATTTTTCAGGGATTCACAGATGGCTTATAAAAACTTTTACAACATCTTTCTTTTTTTTTTTTTTATCATAGTTTTTTAAATATCATACATCTTGGGCCAAATCCAGTCTCCTTACTCATGCAAGTAGGGACTTTAAAGCCAACAGGTATACTCAAATGAGTAAGGATAACAGAATTAGGTTTTTTTTGTTTGTTTTTTACATGTGTATATATGTGTATCCCTTTGTGAATTTATGAAATGATTGTTTTTTTCTCTTCATTCTTTTTCCCCTCCCCAATTCATTGCAATATCTATGGCGCAATCCCACAAACCCCTCCCAAATGCTAAATGTATTGAGCATGGATGAGCCCCTAGTTAGCAGCGACAGGCCAAATTCTGATCTCAGTAGCATTGGTGGAAATCTGGAGTAATTCACCTGTTGTTAAATTTGTGTCATACATAATGAAGTCAAATTGCAATGAAGTCCATAAAGTTACCCAAGATTTACACCACTATAACAGAGAGCAGAATTTGGTCTAGGTTACAATAGCCTTAAACTTTTCACAAATTGCAAATGTTGTTGCAAACATAAATAGTCACCCCTGACCCTAGCAATGCCACATCGGACAGAATTTTAAGAGCCAAAATTTTGAGCTCTTTTGCACGGGAACTGCCAGACAGGATCAGACCAGTGGCCCATCTAGTCTAGTGTCCTGTCTCTAATGGTGGCCATAACTAGATGCTTCAAAAGAAGGTCTGCAGTAGGCACATATGGAATAACCTCTCCACAAAGGAAGTTTCTGCCTGACCCCCACCAGTTAGTGTTGGTTTACTACATGCTCGGAAGCACTAGGATTTATTAACCTAATTATTTCTTTTAAGCCGTTCTAACATAACTGTGGATATTCTCATCGGGTATATAAATAGCTAACCTTCTGGCCACAACGTATCCCAAATCCCACATTGGGGAGATCTGTCCCAAGCAGTATTAACTTTTTCAGAAAAAATGGAGGGAGATGATATACACGCCTCTGTTCTCACACCTTCCTGCCCCTGCTTGCATGGACAGAGTGCCACAGCATCTGAGAGGGGTTTGTGTGTGTCCTGGAAGGTACTCAAGACCCCATTAGAGAAGGAGAGATTGGTAGGTCTATGCAAAGGTAGGCCCACTGCTTGGAAGAATGGTGTTACAAAGATGGTGGAGTGCTCATATGATTAAAGTTGCTTTAAACGTAAAATTATCAATATAAAGTCACCCTGCAGCTTTCATATTGCTGCTTAATACATATAAACTACCATTCATACTGTACGAAGGCCATGGCCATTTAGGGCTTCATAGTGCCACTTTGCTCCATATCATGCCCACTTACCATAGAAGCAGAAATAAAATCCAGATCCTTCTCTTCCAAGGTCTGGATTCTGCAAGGTGATAAGTGCCTTGAAAGGGGCTGAGCATCCAACTCCCAGCAACTTGCAGGATTGAGGCCCAAAAGCACAGAACCCTACCACTTGAACTAATGTAGGGTCTGTAACATACATGTCATCAGTTCCAGTTCCATCCAGTAGAGGTCACAGGCACAAATACACAATTACCCAGATCATGACAACATAACTGTACACGTTGTAATGAAAGAGAGTAAGCCAAAAATGCATTACCTTGCTGTGAGGGTCAGCAAACATGCGCGTAAAGATCTCACACAGCCGTTTTAACTCCACTCGGCTAAAACACACAACAAAACGTTATGTTAAAGCTAAATCTTTTACTCACAACAGAGTAGACTAGAACTGTCGTTGAAAACTGAAAAAAGATTGAGATCTGATCTTTTAAAATAGACCTGGTTGACCTAACTTATGTCAGCATATAGCTGCCACAGTAATTACATTGTTTATGTGTGCCTACACTTTGATCTTTTGTGTGGGTGGTGGGCATTGTCACCAGGAGCCCTTGTGGATTGTACCTTCAATGGGGGGCATTGTCAGATGGCTCCTAAAAGCCATTAATAGCCAGCGTAAGCAAACAGTGAACCAAGACAACAACAAAAAAGTAGACAGTTCTCTGTGGTCAGAATTCTCCTTGGGTCCCTGCTTTGGTAGAGCCAGTTACATAATATTTTTAGTGCTAAAACTCCATCTCAAATGTTGCAAAGAATATTGCCCAAACCCTACAGTCCTTATCTGTTTTCCTTACTCAGGCAAAACTGCCAGCAGAGCCAATGAGTTTTGCCTGATTAAAGAACAAATGAAAACAAATGAATAGGCTGGATGCTGGGTTTTTTTTGACAACGTTATATTGTCCTCTCAAACTAGAGGAAACGGGTGAATGCAGAGTTAATCTTCAGAGAACTCCAGTTCAGGTCAGGATTATAGGCTTCCTTTCTCCACAAAAAGGGTTTCGTCCATAGATCTCCAACCATGCAGATAAAACCAAAACAAACCTCAAAGAGTAGGGAAGGGTACACTACTAGTCGATAGTGTGATTTTTTTAAAGGTAGCTTATTTATAAATAATAGATATTTTCATCCAAATAACCGTATTCTAAGCATAAAAACTGATACAAATTTTAAAAGAACATAAGACAAAGATGACAGTCTCCTGAGAAGGAAGACTTGGATGCAGAGGAAAGCAGTCCTTGTAACACCGCCAAAGCAAGCTGTCAGCTTAATTCAGTGTGGAGACTGAACTGTCTCCAGAGAAACAAAAAAAAAGCTCCAAGTGACTGTCCTACAACTCTCGCCTGACCTGATGGGGATTGCATCTCCCTCTGAATGAACTCCTTTTTATTTCCCTAATGAAATTTATCTCCAGACAAGGAATAGAGAAGGACGGCTATTCTGAACTTCCCTGTTTTCAAGGCACACTGACCTAATGTAACAATATGGGTGCCAAACTAAAACGAACAGCTCAACAATATTTTCTCGAGGGACTTGCTGGCCCCAGCTATATCCAGTAGATCTAATCAGGATGAGCTTATAAAAGAAGGACTTTAGAAAATTGTAAAGAAACCGTTAGGATGGGTAAGTATAATGAAACTCTGATACCACCTTAGACCCCACAACCTTTGCACACACAGAATGCCCACTGAAGATAACGCATGATTAAGGCTGCAGCGACCACTGGAGCACCCCCCGGCACCAGAGCAGCAGCATCTGCTGGAGCACCCCACCCCCACCCATCCTTCCCCAGCACCTAAGATTTAGTTGGGGTATTTTTAGTAGAAGTCACGGACAGGTAACTGGCCGTGACTTTTTGTTTATTGCCAGTGACCTGTCCATGACTTTTACTAAAAACACCAGTGACTAAATCGTAGCCTTACGCATGATCAAACCCCATTCAGCAAGGAGTACTGAAAAAGGACCCTTAACCAGTAAGTTCAGAAGAGTAAAATACCCTCTCCCTTATTAAACTTGTTATATAAATTAAGATGCAGCAAATCACACTGTGTTTAATTTGAAAAATCTATTCTCTAATAATCTTGGGTACTTGCATCTTGGACTACTGTACCTACTACTGTCCTAGTAATGCCATGTGAACACTTTGGACTATATGTCCAAATTACTCAAGCAGGCATCAGCTGATCAATCTAAGAAGAGCCCTGAACTACCCTAGAGAGCATAAAATTACAAATTAGGAGCAAATATAAACATCAGCAGAACTAGAAATAATGTACAATTTTAAAAATGTAATGTAGGGATTTAAAATTAAGATGATGCAAGCCCTGGTACTGGTCTATAATATATCCAGGATCAGAGCCAAGAAAGTCCTGCTAGCCTAAGGGAACGGTGGAAGTAGTACAGTCTCATACACTGCAAACCACCAGGACTAGGAACAATGATTTCCTGCAAGAGCTACACAACCAGGGAATCTCCATCACTTGGTGTTCCCAGAGCCTCCTCCTTTGGATTCTCACTGACACCATATATGCCCTCACAGATCACATCCCCATACACATAGGTATCAAAATCAAAATTTTATCCAACCTTTACACACACACACACACACACACGGTGCCAATGGGCTGTCATCAGATCCTCATTAAAAACACACTACGTCCGTGCTTTCTCAGCCAGGGGTATGTGTACCCCTGGGCGTAGGCAGAGGTCTTTCAGGGGGTAATCAACTCATCTAGATCAGTGTTTCTCAACCTGGGTATTATGACCCCAGAGGGGTCACAGGACGGGTTTGGGGGGGTCGTAAGTGCAGGACCGGCGTTACGGGGTGGCAAGCTGAGCAACTGCCTGGGGCTCCACACCACACCGTGCCCCACAAAGCTAAGTTACAGACTTCAGCCCGGTTCAGTAGGGCTCTGGCTTCAGACAAGGCTCAAGTCTCACACTGAAATGTAAGTACAATATTTATATTCCAATCAATTTATTTTAAAATGATAAAGTCAGCAATTTTTCAGTAATAGTGGCTGTGACACTTTTGTATTTTTACATCTGATTTTGTAAGCAAGTAGTTTTTAAATGAGGTGAGACTTGGGGTACACAAGACAAGTCAGGCTCCTGAAAGGGGTACTGTAGTCTGGAAAGGTTGAGAACCATTGCATTATGGTATACCAAAAAACTGTGTATATGGGAGAAGCACATTTTAAAACCCTTACGAAATGGCCAAGTTTAAAAAATTTTTACCAGACCATGAAAAGATACATCTGTAACCTTGAGTCTATGCCTCCATATGTAAACTTCCTAACACCTCCTACTGAGGTGCCTCTATACATGTTCAAATAAATGATTGGAAAATCTTTTTCAAATGGTAAAAGTGTATTTTTTCCACCCTCTCTATTATCAGTCAGAACACAGCACTGTTCTCAAACACATTTTTGCTTAAACTGCTAATAAGAACAACAACAACAAAACTTACAAGCAACTGAAAAAGACCCTTAAATGAAACACTTACCCTTCTGCCTAGCTAAGGTTGCGGAATTGTTACCCAGACAATTGCCATTTCTAAATGCACTTAAAACACTTGTTTATAATATTCCAAAGAGCAGATTTTGTTTTAAAGGAAACTATTTGTTAACATGTTCTCTGCAAGTCAGCAAGTCCAGAATAAAGCCACATGCAAACAACTTGCTTACAAATACTTTTACCTTAAACGAAATCTCAGTCAGTCCGAACACTTCATATTCTTACAAACGTTCTTCTACCCCATTATAAGCATTGTCTATATGAGGCTCAAATACAATTTCCACTATAACAACTGTAAGCAGGGACAAATACATTTTTCTAACATACGGAACATTCACAGCACTACTTGACCCCATTTTTAACACAAACACATTGCTTCCTTTCACTGTATGTGGCTAGCATTTGCTTCACTGAAAAGCTGCTATGTAGTTTGTGATCAAATGCACATACATGAGGTATGAAGCTAAACTTCCTGAAATATCTGAGTCACATGTGAAAACTGTAGGTTTCAGAGTAACAGCCGTGTTAGTCTGTATTCGCAAAAAGAAAAGGAGTACTTGTGGCACTTTAGAGACTAACCAATTTATTTGAGCATAAGCTTTCGTGAGCTACAGCTCACTTCGTGTAGCACACTCTAGTTGTATCAACATTAGCATTTTGGCAGGAATCTCTCAACATTGCGCAGCCACAGATAGCAGCAGTGGGAGTGCTCAGGTAGATGGGGACAAGCTGAGAGAAGTGTTCACTGGTAAATGAGCTTGTATCCTGTCTATACTACTGTTCCAACATGGCTACCACCAGGGGAGTGGCAATGGTAGAAGCTCTATTGAAAAATACTAGTGCAGGCCAGGCCTCAAAGGGAATGGCTACACTGCAGCTAGGAGCATGTCTTCCAGCATAGGTAGACAGAGTTACATTAGCTCTGCTCGAGCCAGCGTGTTGAAGATAGCCATATGGACATTGTGAGAGGTGTGACCTCTTGGGCTAGCCATCCAAGCTCGGGCCCAGAGAGTCAGGTGGGCTTGGACTTTGGCTGCTAACCTGAGCCACCATTCCTCCACAATGTCCACCTCACTTTCTTTAATGCACTAGCTTGAGAGAAGCTAGCGTGAGTCTGTCCACCAGGTCTGGGAGGCTTGCTCCCAGAGGCAGTGTAAGGCTTATGAAAGACAACATGTGTCAGCACAATATGAGAGAAAATAGTGAATTCTGACTGCATCACAGCAACGCAACACTAATGGCCACCATTACAAAGCTCGGAAGATCACCTCAGTGTCCTCTGGCTCTTCAATAAATTCTGAAGGCCGATGAGCCCTTCTTTTCTCTCTGACCAGTTGGAACTGGCACAGTGGTTTAGGACTTCAGCCACATCTTCAGTCTGTCGTAGGTAGTGTGGAATGCCTCCATTCCTGGAACCATATGAGCGTTCGGAGCAAGCACTCGATGCGTCGCTATTCGCATCATCATCAGAATACATCCCATACGGCTCATATCTTCTTCTCACTGGCTTTTTCTGGAGGAGGAAAAAAATCCACATTAAGTAAACTGTTTTTAGTTATATTAAAGCAGAGGAAAGGATGCTCTACCTGAAGGTAGTTTGAGGTTATTGTTATAGTGGCACAAAGGTGGTAAAATGTCCCGGAGCACCAGCCTGTTTACCTTACTCACTCTAGCAAGAAGAGTCCCACTGATTTTGAAGGGAATACACATGTGACTGATGCTCCAACAAAACACAATAAATGATCCAATAGAAATGTTAGCTAACAATGAAATAATGTGTTGCTTTTAATGAAAATAGTGAACATTTCCCTGGTTAGAGATTGACAATACACTTTTTACTTCAAGCAAAGTCATTAAACATGAAGGTGATTCTGCAAATAAACATTTTGATGATATAATAACGAGAGAGAAAAGAGCTAAAGGACCATTTCTGCTCTGTCATACGTTGGTGTGAATCCACGGTAATTTCACCGCAGTCAGTGAAGTTACTCCAGGTTCATACTGCTTTACAAGAAAGCACAATTTTGGCCCCCTGTGTGGTAATTTGGGCTAGGGTTTTCAAATGCACCTGGGGGGGAGGGGTCAGACATCCAAATCCCATTCATTCCAATGGCTTTGGGGTGCCTAATTCCCTTATGCACCTTAGAAAATTCTAGCCTTAACACTTAGCAAGAAACATCAGCACAATTTTGACAATGTGCCAAATTTAACCCTATGGAATAAACACTAGAACAAACCTTAACAGGATACAAGTGACTATAAAACATAACAGAAAAGGTCTTAGATGATTGCTACAGAATTCCTCTCTGAGGGCCCAATCCTGCAGTTGTTGTATTTGCAAAGCCAATGAGATTTTTGCTTTCATTAGGGCTTCAGGGTTGAGCTGTTATGAATCAGCTCGATTGCAGCATCATGGGGGGTTTTGCAACAGGAAAAAAAAGGTGGAAAGTAGAAATAAAAAGTCAAGAAAGCACTAGTACCTTGCTCCTGGAGTCTCCTAACAGCTGTAGGCAGGAAAATATTGAAGGGTGGGAAAAAGCACAGAGAATTATGTCAGAAGCTTATGAGGGATTGTTCTTGCAACAAAAACGTACAGCAAATGCGTCCTAGCAAATTAAAAACACAGTTAAAGCAAAAGAAAAGAAAAATGGATATATAATGTCTGCCTTTACTTTCCTACTGCTGCTCCTATGCCATACTCCTAAAGCAGACAAAGTTCCCAATACTGAGTTTACCTGAGTAAAGAATATAGGATCGGGATTATACCTTTCCTAATGGCTTCTAACAGCTGTAGATCTACATACACCATCTCTGTGTTTTACCTTTCAGGAAAGCTTCTCTAACTAAATACCAATTTTTGAAACTGTCAGTTGTCCATTAAAGAAGGAAACATATTACAGAGTCTTGAACAGAAACTCTAATACCAGGAAACAATTATATACAGTATAGCTTCATTTAACCAAACTCCAATTAACCAATATCTCTTTTTTGCTCCTGGAACTGTACAAATACCTTGGATGTCTCTTGAAGCTCAGCTTGTTTAAAGCCAGCTGGCCGGCTCCCCTGGCATCTGAAATCCCAGTTACACAAAGGTTTCACGTGTTATTTGAGATTTTCAGAGTTGTACTGTATATAGATTCAAAGTATGACCAGTTGGACATACAGTCTGCCTCCCTGGGTCAATTTCTGTTCTCACACATGAACATAGGAATCAATGGGAGCTGCACACATGTACTAGAGGTCAGAACTTGACCCACAGTGTTTTGTTCAAACTTGATTATTGGGATAACGCCATCTTTGGAGAAGCTCCTCTCCTTTCCTAACACAATGAAAAGAATACTCCTTCTGTATACAAGGGGGGTGGATAGAAGCTGGCATTGCACGGCTCTCCCACAAGGAAGCCAGAACTGGCTTTGTAAAGTGCCTGCTGTGAAAGGATTGTCTAAAGAGCCTATGAGCGAGAAGAGCAGAATGGGGTCTTGTGGAGGAGGGGGACTACAGGATGAAGTGGGTCCCTTGCAGCAATAGGAGTTCAGATTCTGATCAGGCTAGATTTTAAAGTCACAGCTTCTGGAAAGAGAATATTAGATCCTGATGCTTTTCAAACTTAACAAGCCTCAAAGTGGAAGAGGGTAAAAGGATACACAGGGACTGCCCTTAAAACTTTCCAGGATTGCCTTTGATGATGTTACTACAATATATACCATATTCCTTACCCTGTACTTCCCTATATTAAGTATAGGGAATACTGTATCTTGTGGAGTAATGTTATCTAGTAAAACACATGAAACATTTAAAAGGACAATTCTGAGTGACTGTATTGGCGTTCAACCTCAGAGACCAAAATGAAAATTTGGCCCACAACGTATTTAATTTGCTTAACAAACACAATTATTTAGACCTCTGATGGCAATGGCACAGCCTACATTCTAACATCTTATTTCTACATTCTATTGAATTCATACATTAATAAAAAGAAAAGGAGGACTAGTGGCACCTTAGAGACTAACCAATTTATTTGAGCATAAGCTTTCGTGAGCTACAGCTCAGCTCAGCTGTAGCTCACGAAAGCTTATGCTCAAATAAATTGGTTAGTCTCTAAGGTGCCACTAGTCCTCCTTTTATTCATGTAAGTTTCAGAGTAGCAGCCGTGTTAGTCTGTATTCGCAAAAAGAGAAGCTTTCTGAAAGAGGGATCTTAAATCAGATCAGCAGTTCTCAAATTAAGTTGCTGGTGCTCTGTGATGATTTGGAGTTGTTATGTGATCACAAATAGGGAGGAAAACAGTCTGAGTAATAGTGAATAAAAGGGGAGGTGGTCTGCCCATTTGCAAATGGGGAAAGAGATGTCCCTGAGACACTTTCTCTATGGGGATGTGGTCCACAATATGGAAAGGTTTGAGAACCCTGCATCAAATACTTCAAGAAATCCTTTCATCATCCCAACAGCTTAGGTCTCTAGAATTATCCTGTATAACATACAGGACAAAGTTGTACCCACATTACCCTGCACAGTGATTGGTACTCTCATTCTGCCTTCCCTTGAAAAATCAGAAAAACGTATGCAGAAAAATCAGGTAAATGTGGCAAAAGGTTAATGTATGGTTTCTGGATGAACAGCAGAAATTCGCTGGATTCTGCCACTGGAGAACTTTCACTGCAATAAGATTCAGGAATACATGAGAATTTTAGCTAATGCTTGCAAATGGAAATAACTCAGCAGGGATAAGGGAAATCAAGGGAGATTGGGATAGAAAATACAAAACAAATTGCCTTTGCTTCTAGGGGCACAGTAAATAAACACATTTCAGTTTTACAGAGTGACTAATACACTAATATTGAACTAGAGATAAGCCAAGCCATTAGCTGTTCAAAGTGTTCAACCAAGTGCCAGAAATACTGGGCAGAGACACTGGTGCAAATCCCAAAAAAACTGCAATGGGATCTAATGTCCACATAGAGCAGACAGGAGCCAAGTTTTTTAGGGTTTTGCCCAAAACATCCCCATGTAATTTACTGTCTGGGGCTTAGTTAGGACCCCAGTCCTTCCAGGCACTGAGCATCCTCAATTCCCTCTAGTGCTCAGCACCTCACAGGATACCCTCCTCAAAAATCAGATTAAAGACAAAGGGCTGATTTAACCTATTCCTCATCAGTGATACTAAAGCATCTCTGCTTGTTGGATAATAACTGATGAGGATTAACAAACTTCCACAATGAAATGTAGCATCGGTGCCAATACATTCAAATGCAAAACGCAATTATCAAACATCGCCACAGTGTCAGACATTGGGACATTTAAAACAACGGCTATTAAAAAAGAGAACATACGTACAGGTAACTTTAAGCCACTTTCTGGTGTCGGTAGCATTTTGTATTTTTCCTCTTACCAGTGCATCAGCCACAGCAGCCTCCAGATCTGTGCTTGAGCTCAGGACTCGCATGGCATTCACAGAAGCAGGCATCCTGCCTGGCTGTCCAAGTCCAAACCGGTCTGCACAAAAGACAACATTGAAAGAGACTGTTAAGTGAATTCACATTCACTCTGAATCCTAATAAGGTGTCTGGCCAGGAACTCCCCAACGAAAGGCTTCGGGAACCCACAGTACCATTTCATTAAATGTTATTTTATCCGTCACTCTGACACATTTTGCCGCTATGGTATTTAAAACAAAAATACTACAAACAAACTCCAGTACTTAAGCTACCAGAGACACTATGTTTGATTTTCATAGGCATATTTTCCTGTTGCAAGATGGGTGGGAAAGGAATCTATTTTTCCTTTTATTTTACTCTCTCTCTCTCTTTTTAAATTTACTCTTTTCTACTTTTATTTTGGTTTCATGAGTCACACATATATGAGGCCCAATCCTCCTCTTATCAAAATCAACTGTAAAACTTTCATTGACTTCTCTGAAGCAGAATCGGGTCTACAGTTCCATTACTCACTAATTCTATTAAGTGCTGATATTGCAACTCTCTCATTTGAGTAGCCCCTACTCACAAGAGTCATTTGACTGAAATCAAAGGCTTGAGATCTTACATATTAAGTTTCAAGACTTGACTAACCACTAATTGAGTTTTTTCCTCTCATGTGGGAAGAAGAACGTATAAAAAGGGAGAAACATCTATGGTGTGATCATCTCTGAAGTGGTTCCAACCTCACTTTTGTTGTTAAATGGCTCTTAGAGGAACAGGCTTAAATTTGCCCTGGGCTGAAACTTGGCCTCAATACTGTATCATAAATCAACATACAATTTCTTTCTTTTGCAAGTAAATAAAGGATCTGATCAGGGTTGCCACCCATCTGGGTTTTACCTGAACACTCTGCTTTTTGGCTTCTGTGTCCAGATGCCATTTAGAGTTGCCAGGTTTCAACTGGAAAGTGCAGTTTCAACTGGAAAGTGCAGTCGTAAAGGGGACCTGGCAACCCTAAATGGCACCCCGAACCAAAAGTCCGGTTACTGTGGAGCAGGGGGAAGAGCTGAGTCATTAACCCATATCAGCACAAACTCAGCTGGGGCTGCCTCCTACCTGCAGGCAGCTCCTTGAGACGATCTAGCGAGTGGCTGGGGGAGATGGGAAGAGGAGCAAGTGACGGGGGCAGGGCCTTGAGGGAAAGAGGTGGGGAGGGAGGCGGGCCGTGGGGAAGAGGCTGAGAAGGGACGGAGCCTCAAGGGAAGAGGCGGAGCAGGGGCAGGGCCTGGGGAGGAAAAAACAAACAATTTCCTACCTTTCGTAACTGTTGTTCTTCAAGGTGTGTTTCTCATGTCCATTCCATTCTAGGTGTGCACACGCCATCGGAGATTTTTGCCCTAGTGGTACCCATACGGCTAGCTGTTGCTGGCCCTGCGCCCTCTCAGTTCCTTCTTGCCGACAACTCCGACAGAGGGGCAGGAGGGCAGGTAATGAAATGGGCATGAGCAACCCATCTCGAAGAACAACAGTTACGAAAGGCAGGTAACCGTGTTTCCTTTTTCAAGTGCTTGCTCATGCGGATTCCATTTTCAGTGACTCACAAGCAGTATCAATGGAGGTGGGCTTGGAGTTCACCGCTGTGCAGCTTATAGAGCACCTCTGCCTAACCCAGTGTCATCCCGAGCTTGCTGGGTCAGAGCATAGCGTGAAGCCAACGTGTGGACAGACAACCAGGTCGCGGTCCAACAGATCTCTTGGATCAGCACCTGAGCGAGGAAGGACCTAGTCGAGTGAGCCGTCACTATCGGCGACGGGGGCCCCTTCGCTAGCTCGTAGCAGTAGCAGATACAGGCAGTGATCCACGATGATATTATTTGGTCAGACACCGGGGAACCTTTCATCCTGTCTGCGATCGCCACGAACAACTGCGTTGACTTAAGGAATGGCTTCGTTCTGTCTATGTAAAAGGCCAGAGTGCGCCTGACATCCAGGGTATGCAACCTGCCTTCTTCATCTGTCGCATGGGGCTTAGGAAAAAGAACCAGCAAATATATGTCTTGACCAGTATGGAACTGGGAGAGGACCTTGGGCAGAAGGGCCAGGTGTGGATGCAACTGAACCTTGTCCTTATAGAAAACCGCGTAAGGTGGTTCAGACATTAGCGCTCTGATTTCAGACACTCGACAGGCCGAAGTTATGGCGACTAGGAAGGAGACCTTCCAGGAGAGAAGCAGTAAAGAACAGGAAGTGAGGGGTTTGAAGGGGGGAGCCATGACAGCACAAGATTCAGGTCCCAAGGGAGTACCAGATCCTGAACATGCAGGTAAAAGCGCTCTAGGCCCTTCAGAAACCATGCCATTACAGGGTGGGTGAAGACCGACCTGCCTCGAAATGGAGGATGGAACACCAACATGGACACCAGGTGCACCTTGACCGAAGATAGTGATAGGCCCTGGAGCTTAAGATGCAGCAAACAGTCCAGGATGTCCTGCAGGGGGGCCTCCTCTGCACAGATGCAACGATCCAAAGCCCAACACGTAAAACACTTCCACTTTGCTACAAAGCCCTGGTGGAGGGCTTCCTGTTGCCCAGCTGGACACTGGCGCAACATTGCTGCTCCTCCCCACTCAGCCAGGCAGAAGCCAGGATGTCAAGTGCAGTGCTGCCAGGTTCCGGTGCAGCAGATTGCTGTGGTTCTGGGACAGCAGATCCAGCCAAAGAGGCAGCTGCAGGGGGGGGTAGCTGTCAACAGACTCAGCAGCATGCCAAACCAGTGCTGACGTGGTCACAAGGGGGCCACAAGGATGACCTTGGCCTTGTCTTGCTTTACCTTCAGGAGGACCGTATGGATCAAGGGCACCAGCGGGAAGGTGTACATCAGCGCTCCCGACCAGGAGATCAGGAAAGCATCCGACAGGGAGCCCTTGTCCCTGCCCTGCAGACAACAGAACACGTGGCACTTCCTGTTCTGACTGGATGCAAACAGGTCCACCTGGGGAGTCCCTGACTTGCAGAAGATCAGGCTGACTACTTCTGGATGGAGTGACCATTCGTGGTGAGACAAGAAGGTTCTGTTGAGGCGATCTGCCAAGACATTCTTGGTGCCCGACAGGTGGGTGGCCACCAGGTGAATGGCGTTCCTCATGCGAAGTCCCAGAGGCTGAACACTTTGCGACAAAGGGCTAAAGCCCTGGCGCCACCCTGCCTGTTGATGTAATACATTGCAGCGGTATTGTCCATCAGGACCTGCACCACCTTGCCCTTCAGATGGGACAAGAAAGCCTGACAGGCTAGCCAAACTGCCCTGAGCTCCCTGACATTGATGTGGAGGGCCAGGTCGGGTTGCAGCCAATGACCCTGGATGCTGAGCTGGCCCAGGTGGACTTCCCAGCCGAGATCCAAAGCATCCGAGACCAGGGTGAGCAATGGGGTCAGAGACACAAAGGGAAGTCCTTGCAGCAGTGATGTGGGATCCCGCCACCAGTCCAATGACAGTTGGATATGGCTTGGTACTGTGACTACTTGGTCTAGGGCAGGGATCTCAAAAAAATGGGTTATTTCCTGTGGCCCGCCAAGCTCCCCGCACCCCCCTGAAGTTATTTCCTGTGGCCCGCCAAGCTCCCCGTGCCCCCCCGGAGTTATTTCCTGCAGGCCGCCAAGCTCCCCTCCCTCCACAGCATGCTGCGTCCCTGCTCCTCTGCCTACCTCCAGGCACTTCCTGCCGCCAAACAGCTGTTCGGCAGCGCTTAGTGCTTTCCAGGAGGGAGGGGGGGAGCTGCACGCTCAGGGGAGGAGGTGGAGAAGAGGTGGGGCAGCGGTTGGAATAGGGGCAGGGAGGGGGCAGAGTTGGGGTGCGGACTTTGGGGAAGGGATTGGAAAGGGGGCAGGGAAGGGGTGGGGACTTTGGGGAAGGGATTGGAAAGGGGGCAGGGAAGGGGTGGGAAGAGGTGGGATAGGGGCAGGGCCTCATGGAAGGGGCGGAGTGGGGGTGGGGCCAGGGGGCTTTTGTACCTTTATATGGAAAGGTGTCAGTGATGTGGCCCTCGGGCCAATGTACTAGTCCTCATGTGGCCCTCGTGGTGATTCGAGTTTGAGATCCCTGGTCTAGGGGGTGCCTGCTGGGAGTGTAAACCGAGGCCAGTCACGTTTGCAGAAGCCTCATACAAAGACAGCACACAGCCACGTGTGGGCTGTAGTGAGCGTGTGGGCTTTTATGTGGGAGATTAAGTCCGCCATGGCCCAAAAACGTGCCTCAGGAAGGAAGGCCCTGGCCTGCGTGGAGTCAAGGACTGTCCCAATAAACTCTATGCATTGGACTGGAGTTAACATGGACTTTTCTGTGTTTACCAACAGGCACAGGTCGCTGCAGGTGGAAAGCACCAGATCGAGGCTCCTTTGCACCTGCTCTGGAGATCTGCCCTTGGTGAGCCAGTTGTCGAGATACAGAAAGATTTGGACCCCCTGATGTTTGAGGTAAGCCACCACTGGCTCCACACATTTCGTGAACACCCTGGGGGCATCGGACAGGCCAAAAGATAGCGCTGTGAACTGAAAGTGTCGCCTGGCCATTATGAAGCGCAGGAACCATCTGTGTCCTGGGAATATGGAGACATGGAAGTACACGTCCTTTAAGTCGAGAGTTGCATACCAGTCCCCTGGATCCAGGGGAGGGATGATGGAGGCCAGGGAGACCATGCGGAACATCAACTTCTTGAGAGACTTGGACCAGAATTGGCCTGAGGCCAGACACTTAGGCCAGAATGGGCCTGAGGCCCCCTTTCACCTTTGGGATTAGGAAGTATCAGGAGTAGAATCCTCTTCCTTCCATATCCTAAGGAACCTTTTCAACCTCCTGAACAAGGAAAAGCTCATGAGAAGGGTCTGAAGAGGGACAGGGAAGAAGGGGGGCGGAAGGGAGGGGTGTCCAAAAATTGCAGGGTATAGCCCCAAGTGATTCTGTCCAGGACCCAGCGGTCTGACGTAACCTGGGACCAGGCCAAAGAAGAAGGGGAGAGGCGGTCAAGGAAAGGGCGGGCAGGATCCGGGCAGATGGCTGGTGCGTCACTCTCAAGTGCA